CATCGCAACAGGGAAAGTGTATTGGGCAGTAGTTCTAGTAAGAATGCTTTCTTGGGGAAAGCTTCACATTAACCCAGTACATTGTAGGGACTCAACAAAAGTCACTGAATGGATGAATGAAGGAATGAAAACAAAAACTCTGAATGCTCATTTTGTCTCCCTTTGGCAAAAATCACAATTTTTTGATAAATTTTCTGACATTAGACCTAATAATTCAAAAGTGAAATCATCCCTCGGGCATAGTCAGTTATTGATTTGTAAGTGAAAACTTGGACAAAGTAATCATGAAAAAAACTGTTCCATTAGAAAGGAAACCTTTTCTATGATTACCAGTACTGTTATGTTCTTTAAAATACCTCATGAGAACCCATGGGTATGTATACTCTAGCCAAGAAAAGTTTGAGAAAGAAATTTTGTTTTTGTTGTTATTTCCAAAATATGTTCAGACTCTGACACTGTTGAATTCTAGCTTGCTCCTTCAGTCAGGTTGAAAACTCTTGGACTAAAACATGCACTGCTGAATTATCAGTTAGAAATTTAAGCATATCGGGGAAACAATTTCAACCTTCCTAATCTTTTGATAAGAACAGAGGATCTCTCCAATCAAGGAGTAGACAAAGAACACAAAAGGAGGCTAGCATTTGAAAAATTTGTGTCAGGAACCAAACCAGATTTCACACACAGGCACACATACACATGAGCACATATACACACAGACCACCTCTTTTTGATCCATGAAAAACCTAAGACCGTAAATCGCTAGGGAATGGAGGGGTTGGGGGTGGGGTGAGGCAATGATAGTTCAGGATAAGTGAAGTTTTATCAGAAGCCATGTTTCCTTGTTATCCTGGTTGTAACTGTCTCCAACAATATATTTGGTAAGAAGATTGCCAAACATTTTTCAAGTACTAGAGCTTTCATTCAAAATAAATCTCAGTTGAAATCCCAGTAAAACCAATTTATAAAAAGGGACTGTGCTGGTGGAGCAGGGCACGGGGAGATATGCTCATTCCATGTCAGCACGTTCTGAGACCCTTTTGTGTGACAGGCAGATTCTGTGGAGCCACAGACTGAACACTACCTTAATCACACCCTTCTAGCCATTGAACAATGCATAATGAGAATTGCTGAGTTTACAAAGATGTAGTTGAGAATCTCGGTGATTTCGGCGTCCAGTTCTGAATAGGAAGGGTTCTGTGTGACCTTGAGGATACAGGTGTAGATAAAGATTCCAGTGGTACAGGTGCTCTTAGAAACCTGGTGATATCTCTTTTTTTGGCTCGGTGTCTCTCGTGCATGTGTGGGCTGATTTAGCTAATTTGTTTCTTTCTCATCAATATTTATTCAGGGAAGACATCTCCTCAGTTAGTGGAAAGCCCTCTGCTGATCAAGGCCTCTCTGGAAGCTCTCATTGGGTTTGACCCCTGAGAACCAGGGCTGGGACCAGGGCGAGGTGAGCAAGGCATTTGTCCCAGGAGCAGCATTTAAGGGGTACAAACAAACTCTGTGATCACAATCAATAATACGTTAATGTGTTGTTTAAAAAAAAATCAGAACTAATTCCCAAGAATTCATGATGAGCACAGTCAGTATTTTAAATAATGACGGTATCTGACTGTGTACTTACAAGAGTCACTGTGCTCTTTATCACCCTAGTCCCAGCCCTGCTGAGAAGTAGGAAGTTCCTGTTTCTGCCTCAAGTCAGAGAGCCATGTTATATTGTTGGAAATTTTCAAGGGACCAATGGGTGGTTAAGTGGCACCAAGATTATTAGTGAAATGTACACAGACTAGCACAACCGACAGAAAAGAGCCAAGGGGCCATACCAGCGTAATGTAGTGCGGACTCAAGAAACTGGCTGGAAGTCTCTCCAAGGACTCTGCAGTTCTTGGCTGATGAAAAGAGATACGCTTAACCTGCAGTTAGGGCTCAAACAAATATGACTATTTTCCAAGCCTACAAAATACATTCGCTAGTCGTCTCTAGGATACAGTCCTAGTAAATGTACAAATATTGAAACACACAGAGACCATATTCTTGCCTAGGTTGTTCTCTTGTGATGAATGAGTCTAACAACTTATCTGTAAATCAAGCATACATATAAGAGTGGGAGTTTCTTTACATGTTATGATATGAGTAGTTCAAGGTCAGTCTATTAACTTCCAAATCTTAGAGTCTCTAATTGTCTGCATGCCTGAAATTCCACAACCAGGCACATCCCTTTGGACCTTGGAGGTCTTTGAGGATTTCCAGAACTTACTATTGTAATGCAGATGTGCCCTGCCAAAGTTCCCCATTTTGAAGTGCTTTCTTTTAACCTCCCCGCCCCGCCCCCGTGGACATTAATACAACCAGGCAGCATGGTTCAGTGGAAACAGGACCTAGGAGAGGCACTGGGTACCAGACAGAAAAGCTAACCAAATATCATTAATGTGACTGGGAAAGGACACCAAACACAGATCTTTTCCAAACCACAATTTTGCTGAGAACTGGCCTTTGATGGGCAACTAATGTATCAGACAGGAGTCAGCTAAATCATTATTATTCATATAATTTTATGACAAATAATACAAAAAACCTAAACAAGAGATTCAAGGACCCAAACTGTCCTATACAATCTACATTTATAATATATTATGCTATATGGTTAATTAAATTCATTCATATATTTAACAAATATTTATTAAGCTCTTCTTCTAAGTTCCCCCATTTAACTAAAAATCCAAAAAACCCTTAAGGATTTTGTATTCAATATAAATATTCCCCAGGCTCTATTTGAACCTCTGGTGACTATCTGTCTTTGGTCATATGCTCAGGCTAACTTCACCTGAATCCTTTCTCTGGGAGTGCAACTGTTTTGCACATTAATTTAAAGAAAATGTAATTAGGAAAGTTACTGCGACAGTGCATGAGGCATAGTAGACACTTAACACATATTAAGTGCTAAATATATACCAGACACGGTGCTAAGTGCATTTACATTCAGTTTCTTATTTAAACCTGATATTAGCATCCTGTGTTCTCATATCAGAAAATCTCAGTGTAAGCTTAAAAAATTATTACACAATATTTTCCTTTCATTTGCGTGGACAATGTAGACTTGTTGATTTGGGTCACCACTGGCATAATAAAATGTATGATTGGATAAAAATGATCAGCCGTCATATTACCAGAGAAAGGGTAACTATACAGACATAAGTAAGAGAAGTTCAGTAAAAGCCTTTCTACTATAATGTCATATATGTGTTCCTGGGGGTAGGGTGGGAGTTTGTTCTGTAATATTGTACAGTAAAAAGCACAGGGCTTTTGGGACATGGAGAGTTGGAGTAAAGCATTCAAAATCTCTGGAGCCGTGGAGCAAAACCAAAAAAAAAAAAATCCTAATTTTAAAATACTAGCACCATTATATTTTCATTGGCATTTGCATCTAACAATGATCAGTTCATACTTCCTTCAAGACTTAGGTCCTAGTGGGCAGTTTCATCGGTATAATCTTATCGCAAATTCTTTCCTCACTGGTTAACTTTTTTAAAAGGAATGCTTTTGTAGCTTCCTAACCAGCACTCACATTTTTTTTTTTTTCTCCCCACTGAGTCAAATGCTTTGGAAATCATAGCTGTTGTTAAAGGTGCTGAACAAGTCACTGCTTGCAGGGACTTTTACAGGATTGTCAGCTTTTTTATTAGGTTTTCATATATTGCTATGGGTGTTATTTTAATAAACTTCTCTTGTAATGTAAAAGATACACAAAGAAATGTACAAACAGAAAGTATGAGGTGGGTGAATTTTAAAAAATGAGCGCCTGTGGGTAACCGAACCCCACCCAGATCAAAACATAAAACTTTAACCGTTCCCTCTGAAAATCTTCCCTGTGGTAAGACTACCCTGACTTCTAATACCATAGAGTAGTTTTGTCAGTTTGAATGTATATAAGTTGAATCATACAGTTTGCTTTTAGGTTTGGTGTGTTGTCTGAGTGTATGTGACAGTAAGATATCACATACAATAGTATGTTGTAAATGTCAGTAGTTTGTTCATTCTTCCTTCTCTGTAGCGTTATTGGACATTCGTATTACTTTCACTTTTTGCAAATAATGCTGTTGGAACATTATTGTTGATGTTTTCCGATATACACATGTACACATTTCTGTTTGGTGTGTTCATAATGACAGGAATTGCTGGATTACAGGGAATGTGTATGATCACGTTTAGGGTATAGTATGAATTTTACCTATTGGTCGTACCATTTAAAGTTTCATCAGCTTTTGTGAGAGTTTTTGCTCCCTATATCCCCACTAATAATTGGCATTGTTGCCCTTATTCATTTTTAGTCATTTCTTGGGAAAATACAATACAGATAAAAAACACACACCAAACAGATTCATGGCTTAATGAACCATTTGAGGTAAATATCCTTGCAATCACTGCACTGATTAAGGAATAAAACTGCCATTTCAAGTTTCCTATCATTACTGTCACCCACTTCCTCCCCCCAAATTAGCCACTTTCCCAACTTAAAATAGTGACCTCCTCCTTGCATGTGATTATACTTTTGCCCCCAAATATTTATCTCTTAACACTATCATTTAGTCTTGTACATTTTAAGCTTTTTACGAGAAAAAGATTTTTCCTAGTGTTTTTCTGATACTGATCTCTAATAGAATTTTATTTTGAGAACATATTTTGTATGACCCCAATTCTTTTAAATTTATTAAGATTTGTTTCATATCCCAGAATATGGTTTATGCTTGTACATTTTTCCAGTCATGCACAAATTAGTATTTTATTTAACCAATATATTCTGCTCTGAAATAGTGTCTTGGTATGTTTGAGTCCTGCCATCCTCTCCTTCCCCACCTGTCAACGGAAGGTTATTGATGTGGAATCGTGTTAGAGTATTCTGCACTTCCCACCTCACTTAGCTTAGGGATAGGTCCATTTCAAACATACATACAACTACTTTTTAAATTGATTAACTAGTGCAAATGACATTTTCTTACATGTAGGGGGTGAATATCAGGTAAGATGGACTCAATCCTTGTCTGCTGCTCATCACCAAAGTATCCTTTATTCTCCACTCCTAGGGTTTCTCTCTGTGGGCTGTCAAGAAGGGAATTGAATGTTGATACCAGCTAAAGTATGAGGTAAGCCAGTGGTTAATATTAAATCATCTCGGAGATTTTTTAAAGAGTGATACTCATGTTACACTCTATAACAATTAAATCTGATGGAGGAATCAAATTTAGTGTTTTTTTTTAAATCCCTTTTTTTAAAAAAAATTGGAGTATAGTTGCTTTACAATGTTGTGTTAGCTTCTGCTGTACAGCAAGGTGCATCAGCCACGCGTATACAGATACCCCCTCTTCCTTGGATTTCCTTCCCATTTAGGTCACCACAGAGCATTGAGTAGAGTTCCCTGTGCTATACAGTCTGTTCTCATTAGTTATCTGTTTTATACATAGTAGTATATGTATGTCAATCCTAAATCCCTTTTGATTCCAGTGCACAGCAAAGTTTGGGAGTCACTGGGATAAACATTTCAATGAGAGCAAAGTGTGTAAAAGCTTGACTTATTACTACTCTTACTTGGTCTTCAGTAAGAGGCTTATACTTTTCTCCCATCCCTATGGCCATAAAGCTTACATAGTCTCAGTCATGGTCCCCTTCAACACACAGAGAATACAGACATACCTCTGAACTTGCTTCAACTTAATACATTTTTTGTAACGAATTAATACTATGACAACCACAACACCAGTAATAACCAGGATGAGCCCAACCACCAGGATGGAGATATCTGTAACATTAAAACACATGAACTTCAGCCAGGACATCCAGGACATCAACTTTAGGGCAGTGGAATATTAACATTTAACTGAGCTGTTAAAATTCTGCTTCTTCCTTCCTTAAAGGGCTTTAATTCTCCCTCCACCGGTTATTTTTTAAAATAAAGTAAAAGGCCAAAACAGTGCACAAATTATTATCTGTATTAACAATTAACACTCCACCCAAGATTCCATTGTGTTTAAGGGAA